TGCCCGGACCCAACGGCCTTCGTCATACTCACCGCCCGCAGCGGCTCCCTCCGCTTCAACACACTCATCGAAACCCTAACCCTCTCCTCTTCATCCACCTCAAGATCGATCAAGACGGTATCTTGAGGCTGCGGGAGGGCGACCATGAGCTGAGACTGAAGACGGAGGGCGACCTGGTCCTCATCGTCGTAGCCCGACCAGTCGAGGTCGATCCGAAACCCTAGATCGCCGGGACTCGATGGTGAGGATGGGGTCTTCGGCGTAGAGGCCACGGCACGGCATTGGGTTCGCCGGAGTTGCGATGGCCGCCGTACTCGAGGGAGAGGTGGAAGATCTCGGTGGCGCGCTTCCACCCGAGTCCCCAAGACATTTGGGGGCCAGATCTAGGGCTAGGGTTTCAGGGAGTTTAATAATCTAGGGTTTCGGCGATCGGAAAAGATGGCGGGAGAGAGAGATGGGGGATTTGTTCATTTGTAGCGTTACCTGAGGCTTGGTATTAAACGTTCGGTTTGTTTTGTTTTCATTTCTTTGTTTTTTTTTTTGGGGAAATTGTGTCCAGGCCCCAAAAGTAGAAACTTCATGTGACAAGCCCCCTCGTATTTCGGCCCATGTGTATTAGCCCCAAAAAGTGAAGAGTAATGTTTTAAGCCCCCTCCACGTCAGCGTTGTACCAAAGCAGATTGTATTTTTTTCAAAAAAGGCGATACTACATTTCTCCTTCTTCCCCAGACGAGGCGCCGTCCCTTAACAGTAGACACTCCTCTTTAATGCGATAAGATGGAAGAAATGGAGGGAAATTTCCCCCTCTTTTTTCCCATCATGAGCAATAACTATTTAGTTATCCATTACTTCTCCTCAGACCAAAATTCTCTCCTTTACTCGCGCCATTAATCTTACCTTCTCTTCAAAATGGCTGAGAAGGACATCATTTGCATTGTCTCTTCGGGGTACAAAGCGGTATTTTTGAAGATTAACTCCTCAACCACCATCCTGGATCTCAAATTTGATGTGGCAGAGAGGTTAGGTATTCCATATGAGTCATTAATTCTGTCATACGAAGATGAAACAGCTGGAAGCTTGAAATTTCCTATTGAGAACGAGGGGGACATGATGTCTATGGTGGAGCATTGCCACAATCTTGGACTGAAAGAGGTTCACATGAAAGCTTTTAAAGAAGCTGATGATTTGCAGAATATACACTGCAATGAGCGAGTCCAACCTTGCAAAGAGCAAGTCCCACAAGACATGTAGGTTAACTGCGAAGTAAACGAACGCTAGTGCTAATCGTCTTCTTTTTGTCTATGTTGAATGTTAAACTGGATTTCAGATGCATTTCAACAATATGTTAGTTGTAATCGTTAACCTGTTAGTTCTAATCAACGTGTTGTTGCTGAACGGGTTTTTGTTAGTTCTAATGGCTATTTTGTTAGTTCTACACGATTGCATGCATCTTAGTTCTACACGATTGCATGCATGTTAGTTCTATTAATACATATAGGGGTTTCTGTTAGTTCTAGTAGCTATTTTGTTACTTCTACACGATTGTATGTTAGTTCTATCACCAGTTCCATATGGGGTAGAGCTACTCTAAAGCGTGTTAGACCCCTATCAACACTTTTATTTGTGTAGTTTATGATTAACTATTTTCCTGTTGTTAATATTTGTAGCGCTTCCAGAAGTCTAAACTCGAAAAGTATAGACTGTGGCCCGCTGGAGTTGTCGTCCACAACTGTTGCAGATAAGAATCCCAATGACATTCCTTCAAGAGATAATGTTATGATGATTGATGACATGATTAGCAGATCTGAGAGGATTCCTGCTTGGTGGCACACTGCGTTAACTGGGGAGGGGCAACGTTTTGAAAGTGCGAAGGAGTTAAGATTGGCCTTGCTATACTACTCCATGGCCAAAAAATTCGAATATGAGTTTGTGAAGAATGAACCAAAGTGTATTCGAGTTTTTTGCCGATTTAAGGTAGCCAAAAATTGCTCATGGATGTTATTTGCCTCTCCGCCGAAAAATGATAATAGACTTGAAATAAAAATGTTCGTGGACATTCACAACTGTGGACAACATGCCAATAATGCAGGTCAATCTAGAGCCTCTCGTCATTTCATTGCTACCCAATTACAACCCACGTTGAAGGTACGTCCGGATATACGACCTATTGACGTTCAGAAGGAGTTTCTAAGTTCATATGGGATTAGGGTTGAATATAGTAAGATTTGGTGGGGTAAAGAAAGAGCTCAAGAGCGATTATATGGTGATGCTTATGAGTCCTACGATCAATTGAGATGGTAAATCAGAAGATCATATATACACAAGTTGCTGTTGTTTTCATTTATATGACGCTATAAGTCTCATAACTTTATAATGTTGAAACTAACGCTTAATCTTCAATTATCTAGGTATGTAGACGAAGTTAAGAAGACAAATCCGGGAAGCTACATTCATGTTGAACAAGACGAGGGTAGGTTTACTAGGATATTCATCTGCTATGCTGCCTGCATAAATGGTTTTTTACAAGGTTGCAGACCACTTATATTTTTGGATGGAACCTTTCTGAAAGATCGATTCAAAGGTATACTATTAAGCGCCGTAGCATATGATGGCAATCAGGGGATATTTCCATTGGCCTATTGTATCTACGATCAAGAAAATAATGTTAACTGGAAGTAGTTCCTACAAGGTTAGTTCCAACATTATACATGATGGTGCCAACAAAAATAGAACTAACACACCACAATCAAATGCAGCTATTAAAAATGAACAAATAGAACTATCACGCTGCACATTAGATCTAAAACAACAGACAATAGAACTAACACTCTGCACATTAGAAGAACTAACACAACAGACAATAGAACTAACAAAACAGACAATAGAACTAACACAACAGACAATAGAACTAACAAAACAGACAATAGAACTAACACAACAGACAATAGAACTAACAAAACAGACAATAGAACTAACACAACAGACAATAGAACTAACACAACAGACAATAGAACTAACAAGAGAAATAATAGAACTAACACAACAGACAATAGAACTAACACAACAGACAATAGAACTAACAAGAGAAATAATAGAACTAACACAACAAACAATAGAACTAACAAGACAGACAATAGAACTAACACTATCAATAACAGAACTAACACAACAGACAATAGAACTAATAAGAGAAATAATAGAACTAACACAACATACAATAGAACTAACAAGAGAAATAATAGAACTAACACAATGAACAATAGAACTAACGGGCAAAATTTTAGAACTGACACGACACCTGACAGAACTAACACTTCAGAAATCTAGTTCTAATATCGCTATTATAATTCTATCTCCTTCGTAGTTAACTTTAAGGGCTGTTAACCAATACTCTTTGTAGGTCTGTGGTCCATTCTCTATGAAAGGGCAGATCCATACAACCCTCCACATAAGCTAGTGATAATTTCAGATGCGGATAAAGGGATCAGAGAAGCAGTTAGAGAATTTTTTTCCCGATTCTATACACTCTCGCTGTGTGCTGCATCTGGTCGAGAACTTCAGAACAAAGTTGAAGGATTTGGGATTCAAGTCAAAGGATTCTCAGATCTTGGGTAATCTACTGTAATCTGCCTGTTACAAATATACTAGAGCAGAATGGAATGATTATATGGACGACATCAGACTAATTGACGAGCGTGCATACAATATTGTGATGAACTATGCTCCAGAAAACTGGGCCAATGCGTTTTTTCCTGGAGTTAGGCAAGTAATATTTCATTTGATTACCTTACATATAACTAATAGAAGTAGATAGAACTAACACTGTCTATGTTTAGATATGGTCACGTTACATCAAATGTTGCAGAGTCATTCAACAAATGGATTCATGAGGCAAGGCTTCTACGGATACTCCAACTGATAGAGCATATTCGTAAACAGATCATGGTGCGCATGAATGAGCGACGAGTCATGGCTGAAAGTTGGAATCAAGTTCTTTGCCCCAAAGCTGAAATTGCCCTCAAGGAGAACATGGACAATGGACGCCCGTTGGAGGTTCGTCAGTCCCACACAGGCTTATTTGAAGTACAATCCCATAGATCTTGTCAAGTGGATCTAGACAATAAAACATGCACTTGCCGTGGGTGGGATGTAACCCGTGTCCCTTGCAAACATGCATGCGCAAGCATTATGTTTATGAAAAGGGATGTCTACCAATTCTGTGACTGGTTTATGACGGTTGACGCCTTTAAAAGGAGCTACGAGCCTATCATCTACCCTATACCTGACTACGAGAAACGCAGCGTGCCAAGGGATGAGATACAGATCCTACCTCCAATTACAACGAAAAGGAAAGGGAGAAATAAGACCAGGCGAATCAACAACAGAACTGTTTACACCCGGCCAGTTAAATATTCTCGGTGTCATCTGGAAGGGCATAATCGTAAAACATGTAATGAAACCATCGCTGACTAAGTGTGATTGAAATAAAAATAGATCTGACTATTGTCCGATTTGCTAAGTGTGTTTTGAAATAAAACTATCGCGGACTATCGTAAAACATGTAATGAAAATAGATCTGACTATTGTCCGATTTGCTAGCACACTTCTAAAAATAGATCTAACATGGTACCTATTAGAACTAACAAAACAGACATTAGAACTAACAAAACAGACAATAGACCTAACAAAACAGTCTATTAGAACTAACACAACAGACAATAGACCTAACAAAACAGTCTACTAACAAAACAGACAATAGACCTAACAAAACAGTCATAACCTAATAGAACTAACATGCTACACATTAGAACTAGCATGCCACTGTACAGAACTAACACACTGATCATTAGAACTAACACGAAAACACATAGAACTAACACACTGAGCGTTAATGGAACTAACTCTCATTACAACTAACAAGAGCGTTAATAGAACTAACAAAATAACTAACACAACTAACTCACTGAGCATTAGAACTAACAGAACAGACAAATAGACAATAGAACTAACAAAATAGTCAATAGAACTAACAAAACAGACAATAGACCTAACAAAACAGTCTATTAGAACTAACACAACAGACAATAGAACTAACAAAACAGACAATAGACCTAACAAAACAGTCTATTAGAACTAACAAAACGGACAATAGAACTAACAAAACAGACAATAGACCTAACAAAACAGCCTATTAGAACTAACAAAACAGACAATAGAACTAACAAAGCAGACAATAGACCTAACAAAACAGTCAATTAGAACTATCAAAATAGACAATTGAACTAACAAAACAGATAATAGACCTAACAAAACAGTCTATTAGAACTAACACAACAGACAATAGAACTAACAAAACAGACAATAGACCTAACAAAACAGTCATGGTACCTAATAGAACTAACATGCTACACATTAGAACTACCCCGCACAACTAACTCAATATATAGAACTAGCACACAAAAACAGCAGTAAATATAGATATAACTGGTCAGTACTAACACGCCAGCTAACATAAGTAAGTACAAAGAAAATCAGTACTAACCCGAAGAAGGGGTAAAATTAAAACTGTATTTGTTCAGATGAAAAATATAAATAAAACTGGGCCAATGCGTTAAGCGTTAAACTCGATTGGTGCCGGATCTTCATTTGTTGCTACCTTCGCTGGATCGAAAGCGATGTGAGGATGGAGAGCTTGGAGCCGTGGAACCACTATCCGCCCCGGCTGGGTCTAATGGGCGATTATCATTGGGTGTTGGGAGAGCTCTGGGATAATTGGAATCCCCGACTCCTTGGTTGCGGAGAAACAGCTGCCACTGGTCTCTTTCGACCGTCATGCTTCTCCCGTCCCAAACAACCTCGATTAACTCGGGCGTGGATTCCTGAAGCAATTCCAACTTCTCCTCGCTCTGGACCTGCGTCACGGCGTAGCCTTCCTTTATGTTTCCGTCGCCGGGGGAGATGTAACGGAACCTAAGCCTCTTAGGGATTTCAGATAAATTCCTAACCTTCAGAAGAACTCTGCAGTCTGCGAAGTTAGAATGTGTTATGACGTCCCTGGAGCACATGACACATTCACCGACTCCCTGGAGCACATGCGAAGTTAGAATGTGTTATGAAACTTGCACATAGTAGTGTCATGCAACCTGGGACATATGCCTTCTTTCGCTCCTTCTTTCCCTCCAGCGCAACACCAATGCCCCTGATAATTTCATCATAAAAGAACCGGGCCCATGCAACAGACTTGACCCTCTCAATGCTATCCAGATATCTGAGTACGGGTCTAGGGATACCTTTCCCTGCTCTGGGGCTCCATATCATAGAGCATTGGTACAGGATTTGTAGCAAAACAAATTCCTGGATATCCCCCGTTTCTGTTGATTCCACTAACCGTTCCAGATGCCCTTCGAGGTGTTTGCGCTGGGAGGTTTCTGGTTTTTTCAACCTCTTGCCTTCTTCAGAAATGTAAAGATTTGCAAAGTATTTCATCCATATTCTGCTGTTTGAGTCCCGATTGTTACTTACAACTTCACCATTCATAGGAAAATGAGTGTGGTTGTGGACTCATTGCAGATCAAATTTTACCTTTCTAACAGCCCCGCTATTTGAATCCGGTATGATAAATGTGCTCTTGTCTCCGTCATAATAGCGCAGCAACAATTCCAGAGTGGGCAGATCGGGAGCAGGAGCACCGAATACAATATAGTGCTCAAACACAGAACCGCGTCGCTTGCCTTTTGGACGCAGGGTCTTGTCCTGCGTCTTATCAGAAGCCCAAGCGGCTATAATGATGACGAAGAGTCCCTATTGGGGCGGGAGTCTTGAAACTCTGCCCTTTCATTATAAATAGGGTTGATTAGTCATGTCAAGAGGCTTTAACGTTTAAGCTTCTTTCTTGAACTCCCAAACGAGTTTCTTCTCGTTATTTCTAAAAACTGTTCAGCAGCTAACATTGGAATCATCAAGATATAATAATGGAATCAATCTAGAACTAACATTGGAATCAATCTAGAACTAACATTGGAATCATCTAGAACTAACATTTGAATCAACCTAGAACTAACATTTGAATCAACCTAGAACTAACATTAGAATCAATCCAGCACTTACATCATGTGTACTCATCTACAACTGGTATTTTTGAGATGAACTGAATTTACGCAAAATTAGGTCGATTTCCCAGATTCTCGATAACATAGAACATATTGTTTTTCGGGGGAGGGTTGGATGGTACGCTCGGTCGTCGAGGGTCGTCTTTTGCTGTCTCGACGTGCTATCGCCTCCTTTTGCATCTCCATTAGGGTTTGTGTCGCCTCCTCCGCGCTTTCAAGCCCAGACGATACGTCTTGGCCCTTCGACGCGCGTCGGTGGTCGACCTCGAAATCGGAAAATGATCCTTCCCTGGACGACATGATTCAGGCGAAAACCCTAAAACTGTTGAACGGCGGTGAGAAATTGGACACAATCTCGAGTTTTTGAGACAACGAAGAGGTGGAAGAGAGAGAGAGAGAGAGAGAGAGAGAGAGAGAGAGAGAGAGAGAGAGACAACGAAGAGGTGGAAGAGAGAGAGAGAGAGAGAGAGAGAGAGAGAGAGAGAGAGAGAGTACTTGAATAAGGATGGGGCGCGTTAACCGAGTACAGTCCCATCAGAAGGGCAAGAGCGTAACTTCCGCCTTTGTTTTTCTGAAAAAGAGTAGTTAGGGGTCCCATAACAAATACTGTGCGTATTTGGGGCTAATACACATGGGCCGAAATACGAGGGGGCTTGTCACATGAAGTTCCCAATTTTGGGGCCTGGACACAATTTTCCCTTTTTTTTACGATATTTAGAGGTTTTGTTATTTACGAAAGTGACCTCCGAGGCGGGGAATAAAGTAGAGATTAATTAGGATTAGTTTTTTTTTTAATAATAAACTGAAAATACTGAGGTGGCAAAGGGCCAAAGACTTGACTTGCGTTGTAAGAAAGAAGGGGACTTCCACCTAACTCGATGAAAATTAGAGGAAAATCATATTTGTAATATATATAGCTTTTATCGTAAACGGTGTCTTTTTTTTTTCCCTAACGAACTAGATGTCTTAGTATTAGTATACTATGCATGCGTAATCAAAAAGAAATGTGCGTTGTTCAAATCCTTGATAAGGTTATATTATTTACTGCTTGCGTAACATAAAAAATTGTTTATTAGTAGATGATAGATGTCACCAAGGACCTGTTCACATACTAGTAAATAGGACGGATTTGCAATATGAAATTGGATATGAATTACGTAGTTCAGATTTAAAAATTAAATTCTAGAATTTCAAATCAGCTCTTTGAATCCAATGGTAACATGAAGGTATTTGTAAATTATCATCTTCATCGTTTTCATAACTTAATAGTCCAAAAAAAAAATTTTTTTAAGGTTATAATCACACTCAAATGTAAATTTTAGGCATCAGTTAATTAGGTTTTGCTAGTAATTTGGTAACGTGAGGTCCACGGTCCTCTCCCGGGACGCGAGCGATTGAATTGCTTGCAAGGGACGTTCCTTGTGTCTCCAAGCGCAGCGTATCAAAGCGCTTATTGACCTTTGAACAAGCGAAACTTTGGGCCTAATTTGAAATTTCCACCCGTCTTCTTCTTGACCAAAAAGTCTTGATTTGTTTATGAAACTTCAGTTTTTTCAGCGTGGGATATTGCCAACATTAGCGATTCCCTAACTTTATATTTTTTGTTGCTATTAATTAAGTTTTATTTCGTTGAATACATCACTTGTTTTATATTAGAAGAATCTAGAAATGATACATAAACAATCAAACAACATCATGTCACAAAAAAAAAAAAAAAAAAAAATTGGTGCTGAGCTAATTTGAGGGCTTCAAGCTCAAACGGTGATATGCCAATGCTTATTTAGTATAATATCATTTCTTTCAATAAAGTGTATATTTATACTTTTTCCTAACCGAACAACCTGCAGTCTTCAAATGTGACAGAAATCTGTACTTCTATGCGGTATACTAAAGGGGTGGCACTAGGGGCACACCCCCAACCACATCCCAAACCACCTGTACTTCTATGCGGTATACTAAAGGGGTGGCACTAGGGGCACACCCCCAACCACATCCCAAACCACACACCCTCTCTCATATGCTACAGTGCACCGGGCCTCACATGGGATTTTAAAATTTTAAAATCCCATGTGGGACCCAGTACACTGTAGCATATGAGAGAGGGGGTGTGGTTTCGGATGTGGTTGGGAGTGTGCCCCTATCATTTTCCATACTAAAGTAAGGTTCTAATTGTACAGTTGGCATCATTCTAGAGTATGGTCAAAGAAACACGTAACAAACTACACATAAATGCAAGTAAAAAGTAGAATGTCAATAAAAACATATTAGACAAATTTCAAGTACGAGATACTTTACGAAAATGAGATATCGTCCTCTAAATAGAGGACTGGCCTTAAAGAGATTATGTTCCACCTACGATAGTGT